TGATGATTTCTATATCGTGTTTCACAGCTATATTGTAACAACAAAGATAGGAAAAATTATTTGTCTTGTCAATTGGGTTATAAAGCAACTGAACGAGCCTGTGTGGACTCTTGACGAAAAAGAGAGACAGTTATGTAAAGCTCTGGATACAACTGTGGTAACCAACAAAAGTTAAGTGAAGTTAAATCAGAAAAAAGTTAAGTTAGTGAAAGTGATGTTGGACAGCGTGATTGTAAGTTTAGCCATAATGGGCAATATTTTAAAGGGAGCTTAACAGAGAGTAGAAAAATTAGTGGTTTTGTCAAAGAGTGTCCTAAAGTAATTGAACCTGTCTGGTGGACTTTGAAAAAAAAGGAAACAATTATTTAAACTTCGAGATACAACTGTAGTAACCCACAGAGTAACGTAAGTGAACATATCTCAGATTGTACAGTAAGAATCAAAGAAAAAAAATAATTCGTCTTTTCAATTGGATTCTAAGGTAATTTAATCAGCCTGTGTGAACTTTTGACATGAAAAAAAAAGAAGAATTATTTAGAGTTTTAGATACAACTGGGATATCCTATAGTGTAAAGAATTTTTGTACATAAGTTTTACTTGTTTTTATATATTATTTTAAAACAAGTGGATCATGTGCTGTCCGTTTATTGTTCGAATTTGTCGCCAACAGGTCACAGATACCTACTGTAAAATAATCCCACTCATATTTAAAACACTGACACTTCCATGGTATTGGTATAACTTCTGTGCCTGGGGTGTACTCCTGGTCTCCTAGAAAAAGAAAAGCAGTTGCAAAGATAAAGATAGGCAGGTAAAAGACAATAAGGTATTGAAATTTTCACTAAATAAAGAAGTGAGTTTTCAGAAAGCAGGTGACTTTGAAAAAAACATTAGTAGTGGAATATTTACATGATTTTGCAACATACTAATCAGTAGAAGTTAAGTTTAATGGTACAGTGGTTTGTTTTGAATTTCGCGCAAAGCTACACGAGAACTATATGCGCTAGTCGTCCCTAATTTAGCAGTGAAAGACTAGAAGGAAGGCAGCTAGTCATCATCACCCACCGCCAACTCTTGGGCTACTCTTTTACCAACGAATAGTGGGACTGACCATCACATTATGATGCCCCACAGCTGAAAGGGCGAACATGATTAGTGGGACGAGGATTCGAACTCGTGACTCTCAGATTGCGACTCAAGCACCTTAACCACCTGGCCATTCTGGACCCTAATGGTACAGTGTAGAACGGGATTGAACGTCTGACGAAGACGTATTATGTAAACACAAATGCCAAAGAAGTAGACTGTTACTATTAGAAGCAGTTATTTATAAATGAAAGACTCCACCAGGCGTTAAAAGTAGGCATATTATAGGAGGGAGCAACTTTCTTACTAATGCCTTTAATCAATTAAGGTTTGCTTGTGTTTAAGCACTGCGGGTACTGAACCCCAGTTTTTTAGATCGAACCAGGAAATTAGAAGTTTGATAAACGATGACCGTGGTTACTTTAGCTAAAGTTTATGCTGTAATTCATTCTGATGCTGCTTTAATTTATGTTGAAGTAGCATCATGTTTATACCTGTTTCAATCATAATCTGGGCTTGAGAGTATTTAAGATTATTAGAGGCCAGAGTGTTTATTAAGAAAGGCCACTGGGGTACAGACTATAATGTGAGATATAAGATGTACCCTGGGTTTTAGAGGTGACTGTGGAAGTAGGACCCACATACCGTTGTTGATACCCCGTCTATCAGTCTTAACCTCCTTTCGCTAGTCTCGCATCTTAAAGAAAGAATAATAAAATAAGTATGTGTGTGATATAAGCTCTGTTAAAAAATTATTGAACCAAACAGAACCTAGTCACAATTTTTATTTAGTTGTATACAGTTATATTTTTTTGTAATTTGATTTGCCATTTAAATTGGCCTTGCGTGGCATGGCGGTTAGGGCGTTCAACTAGTAGTATGTGGGTCGCGAGTTCCAATCCCATCACCGAATATGCTTGACCTAGCCACCGTTGGGATTGTACAATGGGATGGTTAATCCCAATATTCGATTAGAATGGCCCAAAAGTGTCTATCGCTTCTAAATTATGGACGGCTAGCGCAGACAACCTTTGACTAACTTTGCACGGAATTCAACATAACAGACAATCAAGCTCTTTAAATTATGGTCTCGTTAAAATTAAGGCTTTCAAATATATTGGAAATAGTCTTGATGATCACATTACGTTTACATGTAAAGAAGAAAAGTTTTATTTTAGCTAGTGCTGTCATGAAACATTTAACATTTTCTCGACCGGACATTTTGCATTGTCAGGAAACACGTAAAACTGGAAAATTCGGCGAAGTACTGGAAATTCTATATTTGTTTTATTTATTGTATATTTGATTGAAGAATGGCCCTACAAACCATAAATAACTTGTGTAAACCCTTTATTAAAATAAGCCTATATGATCCCTAGAAATAGAAAGCATAATAAGCATGGAGCTTAATTAAAACTTTAAAAAGTGATATTTTTAATAACCCTATTTAAATTTGTGAAGTAACCCTCTTCCCCACTTTAAAAGGAATTTTCCTTTCAATTTGGTGCGAAGCAAACTGGACTCCTACTCTTTAGAACAAACATATAATATTTCTATTACCTTTCATTTCAATGTCATGTTTAATATTAATGCTAATGAAGTTAAAGTTCTTAACTTTTATAGAAACTTTTATTAATAATTCAGCAAAGTTTATAATCAGTACAAAGCTTTTAAAACAATTATTTGTAGTTATTTCTATTTATATAGTAACTGTACACAAACGGACATTACTATTTGTGGGAGCCTAGCATAGGCTGGTTGCTGGGGCAGGTCACAGGTTAAACTCCAGTCACCCTTTCAGCCGTGCGAGAGTACATATGTGATGGTCAATACCACAATTCTTCAGTAAAAAGTAGTCCAAACTTTGGTAGTGGGTGATGTTGGCCAGCTGTCTTACTTTTACTTTATCACTTATAAATTAGGTGATGGCTAGCGCAGATAGCTCTCGGGTAGTTTTGCGCGAAATTAAAGAAATAAACAATACTATTTGTGATAGTAAAATATGTTATATACTTTAGTATGCTTAAGAAAGACAACCGAGTTATAAGATAAAAAATAATGACTTTTGTTTACTATTATGCATTTATTTGATTGTTCTTTATGTGTATAACATCTTTGTAGTTTAAAATCAAGATTAAATTTATTTAAATGACATATGAGAAGTATTATTAACAGCCCTTTTGACTGTTCTGAAGCTAAATATTTTAATACAATTCTAAATAAAAATATGTTTCTTCTAAAGAACATAAGTTTTTAGTTTTCTATTTCAGGAATGTAAAATCACAAAAAACTATTCTACGAACAGTTCTTTATAAATATTTGTTTGTTAATTAAGCACAAAGCTAAACAATGTACACACCGTGAGTATTGAAACCCGATTTATATATATAGCGTTATAAGCCCTTATACTTCCAGCCGAGCCACCTTGGAGTTAAGTCTGTTTTGATAGTTTGTATTACAAGGAACTAGATGGAGCACTGAAATATTGCTTGTTTCATTCATGGAATCTATTTTCCTTGTTCATAGAGTTAAGCTGAGACAGAGTAATTTTTTATTGTTTCGAAATACTTTGAATG